TTCCTTGACTAGTAGACTGGCTGGAACTTTTATCACTCTGTTGAGTAGGAGTGGCATAAGCAGAAGGCCGTCTTAAGAGGAAAGCATCCGTTCAACTACGATGCTTGTTGTCGATTTTTAACTGTTCTTCTTAGAGGCCACTGAGCTGGTTCACACAGGAGAATGAAAGGGTGATGGTACTGTGTCATCCTTACAATCATTTCTGCGTTTGAGTCCACTGTTGCAATCACTATGCCAATTCATCCTCAAGAGTCTTCCTCCTTTTCTCTGGTCCTCTACTTTACGTGGGATGCCCTGCTCTAAGGACTGGCCCCTCCTGATGCTATGGTTAGGGGTCATCGAGTCAGTTACAACTCATGGCCACCCATGTGTGGCAGAACGAAACATGCCCGTCCTGGGCCCTCCGCACATTCGTTCTTATGTTTGAGACCAGTTGCAGCCATGGTGTCCGTTCATGCTATCAAAGGGCCTTTTCTTTTCCACTGCCCCTCTACTTCACCAAGCATGATGTCCTTCTTCAGGGACTGGTCTCTCTTGACATGCCCAAAGCATGTATGTGATATGAAGTCTTGTCATTCTGGCCCTAAGGAGCATTCTGGCTGTACTTCTTTCAAGACAGATTTGTCTGTTCGTGTGGTCACCACCACTACCCACTGCCACCGAGTCGATTCTCATAGGACAGAACTGTTACCCCATGGAACAGAGTAGGATCAGTTCTGATCCTAACAGGTTCTGAGGCTATAAATCTTTCTGGGAGCGGACAGCCTTATCTTTCTCCTGTGGAAGGGCTAGTGGGTCTAACGGTCAACCCTTCATAGCAGCCCAACATTTAACCCACTGGACCACGGGGTTCTGTTCTGCCAGTCGTGGTGTATTGGGTGTTCTTTGTCAACACTGCAGTTTAAAGGCATCAATTCTTTTTCAGTCTCCCTTGTTCACTGTTATGCTTTTGCATATATAAGGTGACTGAAAATACCATGTCTTCAAAGTGATGTAATTGCTTATCAATACTTCCAAGATTTTTTATGCAGCAGATAGCCCAGTGCAATATGACATTTGGTTTCCTGACTGTTGTCTCCACGGGTACTGACTGTGGATTCAATAACACGAAGTCCTTAACACTTAAATTATTTTTTCCATTTATCAGGAAGTTTCATCTTGGTCCCGATGTGAAGATTTTTTTATATTAATGTGTAAACTAATCTATCGTGAAGACTGTAGCCTTTTTCTTTGTTAACTGTCTTCGATTTTTTATCAGCATGCCAAGTCCTCTTGGTTTTCAGCAAGCAGTAAGGTTGTGTTACCCACATATGGTGGGTTGATAATGAGTTTTCCTCTATTCCTGATGCTGTGTTCTTCGTACAGTCTAGATTCTCATTCTCTCAGCACACGGACTCAGTCAGTATGTGAAAGGCTGCACGATTGATGTGTCACTTTCATGATTTTAACCCACAATATCCCCTTGTTCTCTTGGTCGGTGTAGTTTCCACATGTGCACCACGGAGTTCCTTTTGTGCAATGCTCCGTAACTTTTCAGGATCCATACAGATGTCTTTGTGTACTCAACAAAACACAGGTAAATATGTTCCTTTATTTTCTTCTCTCAGTCGAGAGAGTGGACATCGACAATGATATCCTTTGTTCGAGGTCCTTTTCTGAATCTGGCTTGAATTTCTAGTAGCTCCCTGTCAATGTATTGTTGTAACAGTTTTTGAGTTATATTCAGTAAAATTTTACTTGCATGAGATACTAATGATCTTATTTGACAATTGCCACATTTTATTCTTTATCACATTGGAGAATTTCTCCTCTAGTCCAAATTTGCTAAGTTTTAATCTATACAATTTTACCTCGTGTATTTAGATCCTATCATTTTTCTATGTTATCAATATGAGTGGTAAACATTTTTAGAATATGGCTTAAGGAAAGAACAACTTTCTGGTATGCATATGTGAATCTTACTTACAAAAATACTGTAGTCCAGAAATACATGGTTGCCATCTTTTTCCCCCACAAAAACATATATCCTGATTAGTGTTAAAAATTCTATTTAGCTTTTCCCACCGTATTGGAGGATGTGGTGACTCGCTAGGAAGAAAACTTCTAAATGGCAAATATGTCTGCAAGGCTCTGGGGCCAAGGACATTTTTGCTGGCTAGAAAGGGGGTTCTGGAAACACAGGGGCACACAGTTCTTCTTAAAATTGAAGGTGTTTACAGCCAAGATGAAATGGAATTGTTGAGGCAGAAGATGTGTTTATGTACACAAAGCAGAGAACACCACGGTGACTCCTGGTGGCAAACCTAACGGAACCAAAGTGATTTGGATTCCTAGCTTCTTAACCTGTGTGAGAATAAAAGACTATTATGTAACAGCCACCTACTTCAGTATTTATTTTACCATAGCAACAATAGATGTCAAAGCACACTCACAGGAGCACCACAGGATATTAAAAACCATTTCTGAGCATTGCACAAGTTACTGCTGTTACATTGTTTTGGTCCAACTATTTTGATAAATCAGACTCTATGACTGTAGGTGGCATGAACAGTTAGTTAAGCGTGTGACCACTAGCTGAAAGGTTGCCCATTCACACCCCCACCCCCACCCCCAGAAGGACCTTGGAAGACAGGCCTGGTGATGTGCTTCCGACAGCCCAGCCTTGAAAATCCTATGGAGCATTTCTACTCGGCACACACGAGGTCACCATCAGGTGGACCTGACTCTGGCGAGTGACAACAACACGGAAACTGGACCAAAAAAATTTGGGCATCTTTACATAAAAGGAAAATGATGAATGAAATATAGATAGTTGTAGAAACAATGTGGAACAAAATTTCTAATTCTCATGGAATCCAGATTTTCTGGAGCTACAAAGGCTGCATCAATCCATGAAACTATTGCCCTCAGATAATCCTTAAACTTCAAACGAAGACCTATCCTCTAAAGCAGTGGTTCTCAACCTTCCTAAAGCCACAATCCCTTCGTACAGCTCCTCATATGGTGGTGACCCCCAACCATAACATGATTTTAGTTGCTACTTCATAACTGTCATTTTGCTACTGTGATGAATCGGGCAATCCCTGTGAAAGGGTCGTTTGACCCCCAAAGGGGTCATGACCCACAGGTTGAGAACCGCTGCTCTGAAGTATTTAAACCAAATAATACTTTGGCTTAATTAGTAAAGACTGCCTGTCTTGAGCATTATACGCTTTAAAAAATAATCGATAGGGGATTAAGTGGACCACAGCTGAAAGGTTAAATAGGAAATTTAGGAGACGGAGTGCATGTCCTAGAGAAAGACTCGCTCAGACAGAGCTTATTCGTGTCAACCAGGGATCACAAGTACAAGTTGTGGTTTCGGTGGGCAGTCTGCTGTGTATACTGTCAACACAGTACAATTTAAACAAATTATTTTGAAAAGCAATGATTCATTTGAATACTTAGGAATTGTACACTTTTCTCTATGTTTGCTATACTTGAATAAAAACTCTAAAAATTGATGGGCTTTTCTTGTATTCATTACAGGTAGGTTGTAGTGCTACTTTTCTAGTTATCAGAGGTTAAGAACCAAAGGCATTTGGAGACATAAACTGAAGAAATAGTGAAAAGGTGAGAAAAAGAATGAGAAATAAGTATTTCGTTAAGCTAACAAGAGAAATGAGTAAAATAGAATAAAGGCAGTCCCTGGGTGTTGCAAATGGTTAATGTGCTTGGCTGGCTGCTAACCCAAAGGCTGGAAGCTCAAGCATACCCGTGGGTGCCTTGAAAGAAAGGTCCAATGATCGACTTAGAGAGCACAGTTCTGTTCTGAGACACAGGGTCACCATGAGCCACAGTGAGCTCAGCAACAGCTGAGGAAGAAAGGCATAGCAATCTACTTTCAAAAATCAGCTACTAAAATCACCATGCCCTAAGGATCACCATGGTCCTATATGCATCCGATTATGGGATGGCACAGGACCCAGGTAGTTTTGTTCTACCAAGCATGGAGTTGGCATGAGTCTGACGCCAAGATGACTGACACTACCAACAACTTACATATATATATATATATGAAGTACACAAAGCGGAATTAATTAAGCTGTGAGACAGTTAAATGAGACAGGCTCCTTTTAGGCTTGCTCCAAAAGTCGAGATGAAATGCAGTATTGAGCAAGATTTGAACAGGAAGGTTGGCGAGAAGTAGCTTGACTAAACGAGGGCATAACCAAGACATGGAAGAATAGTGATAGGTTACTATCTAGATGTTTAGAATAGTCTAGGAGTTTAGACATATCAACACTTTTTATAAATGCTCAATAAAATACATACACAGTCTAGGCTTAGTTACACTGCTTTGTCTTACCTGGATTTCACGTCCAGTACTACACTTATTTCTTGCTTGGATGCCTGCACTTGGTATAAGAGCTTAATAATATAGTTAATGTGTTCAGGGTCAAGTACCATCCCAGCTTCAACAAGCTGCAGAAAAGAAAAATAGTCATTCTTTAAAACTGTGAGAGAGCTGACGCATTCATGTGTATGAAAGTACTAAAAAGAGCGGAGACAGGTAAAATAAAAATACTTCATACATTTGGAAGATATTTGCTTCAAGTATTTGAGAACTACAATAAGACTCTTCCAAGATTTTAAAACAAAAATGAAAACAATAATTTTGCATTAGAAACTTGGCTCCAATTATTTTCTTCCTATTCCTCAGGCTTTTTCAACCACCCAGCACCGTAGCTCTTGCTTGGTGCTCTGTCTGGGTCCTAGTGCAGGACTGGTATTCAGACCTCACCCCTGCCTGTAAACTTCCTGTCTTTCATGGCTCACACAGAACCTTATCTTGGAAAATAATCAATTAGATACCGATTTCACTTTGTTTCTCCCCAAAGGTGTTATGATTAGGTACTACAATTCTATCCTGGTCATGGACTGGCATTGGTAAGATTAGGAAGTTTAGACTGAAACAATGAGTGAGTGGTTTGAAATTCTGTAAGCAACATTCCCATGCCCCTGGGGAATGTTTTTTTTTTTAAAAATCCTTTTATTGGGGGCTCGTACAACTATCACAATCCATACATATATCAATTGTGTCAAGCACATTTGTACATCTGCTGCCATCATCATTTTCAAAACATTTTCCTTCTACTTGAGCCCTTGGTATCAGCTTCTCATCACCCCCCCTCCTTTCCCCATCATCTCTCCCTCATGAACCCTTGATAATTTATAAATTATTATTTCATGCCTTACACTGACTGATGTCTCCTTCACCCATTTTTCTGTTGTCCAACCCCCTGGGAGGGGGTTATAGATATATCATTGCGTTTGGTTCCCCCTCTCTCTCCCAACCTTCCCCTTACCCTCCTGGAATGGCTACTCTCAATATTGGTCCTGAGGAGTTTATCTGTCCCAGATTCCCTGTGTTTTCAACTCTTATCTGTACCCATGTACATCATCTGGTCTAGCCAGTTTTGTAAGGCAGAATTGGGGTCATGATAGTGGGGGGGAGGAAACATTAAAGAACTAGAGGAAAGTTGTATGTTTCATTGGTGCTATACTGCACCCTGACTAGCTCCTCTCCTCCCTGCGACCTTTCTGTAAGGGGGTGTCCAATTGACTACAGATGGACTTTGGGTCTCTACTCTGCACTCCTCCTTATTCATAATGATATGATTTTTTGTTCTGGGTGTTTGATGCCCGATACCTGATCCTATCGACATCTCATGATCACAGAGGCTGGTGTGCTTCTTCCATGTGGGCTTTGTTGCTTCTCAGCTAGGTGGCCGCTTGTTTATCTTCAAGCCTTTAAGACCCCAGACTTTATCTTTTGATAGCTGGGCACCATCAGCTTTCTTCACCACATTTGCTTATACACCTGCTTTGTCTTCAGCGATCGTGCTGGGAAGTTGAACATCACAGAATGCCAAGTTATTAGAACAAAGTGTTCTTGCGTTGAGGGAAATACTTGAGTAGAGGCCCAATGTCCATCTGCTACCTAAATACTAAACCTATAAATATATGTACATAGATCTATAATATATAAATATATTTACATATGTACATGCCTGCATTCAGATCTCTATAAATGCCCTTTGCCTCCTAGTTCTTTGCTCTATTTCCTTTTAGTTTCCTCTTGTCGCACTATCGGTTTCAGCCTTCATTTGGGTTTCAGTAATTCCTCTGGGTTATATTGCCCTTGATCAAGCCCTACCAGGTCTCCTACACCCTCCTTGCTATCAATTTTGGATCACTTGTTGTTCCCACGTCCCTGAGTTTGTTAACACCACTTTCTTTCCCCTGCCTCTCCCTCTCCCATTGTTTTCTCCTCCAGATTGTTTACCCTGCTTATCTTATCTAAATAGATATGCAGATAATAATATGCATAAAAACATGACAGAGCAAAACAAAACAACAAAAACCAACGACAAAAAAAAAATAAAAGGAAAAGCCTATCCATAGTTCAAGGTCTGTTTGTTGACGAGTGTTTTGCAGTCGAGTTTGATGTGGTATTCGTCTGGGATAATTTATGCCTTGCCTCTCCAATGTCTATTTGAAAAGATTCTCAGGAAATAAGAATTTGGAGTAGAATAATAAAAGTAGGAAGCCATGAAGGAGGGGGAGAAATTAACTTGAAATATGCTAAATTAGAAGAGTTCTTATTTTCACTGCCCTTAAAAATATAAGTAATGTCAAACCTTATAATCCAGCTGTTGAGAATTTATAATTTATGTACCGCATATACTCCTGCATTTAAGCTCAATTTTTCAGCACATTTTTAATGCAGTTTTTGTGTCTTGGCTGATATTCAAGTCGGCTTATACTCAGTATACACAGTATATTTTGAGATAGAGATAGAGTATTTTTAAATGAAGGACAATGGTAAAATGCTGCTGAGAGAATTCCTCTATTTTTGGATTCCCCAAAAATGGTCTGAAATTTGATGACACTAGATCCCTTTTAAATGGGCCCTAGGAACTCCAAATTAAACCCACGTGATTAAACAAGTTGATTTAGTGAAAACTGATGGGGGTCCACTGAATGTGAAACATTCCGAATGTTCCCCCTTCCATGTTTCTTACTCATAGACTCTCGAACCCCACACCTTCCAGTGTGCGCCAAAAGTCTCTTGTGTATGCCAAAGGCCATGTCACCCTCTTCATTCAAACTTGCCACTCAGGAAGATACACAGGGCTTTCCCAACTCTAGCCCCAAGTCTCTTCCCCCAAGGGCATATTTGCCTGCACTCCTTTGTCTCCGGACTACCACTCCTTTCTTCCCATCCTCTGATAGTCCAGTAGGCCTGTATCAAATAACGCCTGTTACTTGATACCTGAGTTTCAGCTCAGTTCATTTCTTATCATATGGTGCTGAAACGCGGAAGGGGCAGTGCTGGGGCTGCAAAGACACTCTCTTGGATTGATTACCTTCCCGGACTGCCCCCCGCCCCCCTGGACCTGCCAGAGTGGGTATCTTATAGGACCATTCTCTGCTTGCTGTTAAAGACCCTACATTTACACACCATCTGATTCTGTGGGAGTGCATATTTGAGTTTCTTTCTCGGGTTCTCTGCCTATCTTTATGGCCTTTTGGAAAGGTCCCTCTTGAAAATTCTGTTACCAGGAGGGAGACATTGAGCTCCTGGGGCACGGGACCCACAAAGAGTCTGATCCTCCTCTCATCCTACTATTCCTTTTATGGAATTTGGAGTCTAATGGACTAATTGAGGACGCTCCTTGACTCTGTTATATTTCTTGGGAGCTCAAATTTTACTCGCCCTCCCACCATGGGAAATAACCAACCTAAGTCACCCCAAAATTTTCCTCTGGTGTGCCTAGTCACTACTCTTAAACCTCAGGGAATAAACCCAATCATTAAGCCTCAATGCCCAAATTTTCTTTGTAACCAAATCTGACCTCAATACAATTAGACAAGACTCAAAATGGCCACAGGATGGCACTCTCAGTCAACGTAACAGCAAGGTCTTAGAAGTTTCCTAGTGCAGGTCTTTTTCTATCTTTGCTCTCACCCCCATCTGTGTCAAAACTGTCCCTACTCCCAATTCCAGCTGGTTCAGGAAAAACCCTCTCTCAGACAATGAATTTTTCTGTGATCCTTCTGATCAAGTTTCTCTGCCCATAGCTGCGCCTGCCGCCCCTCCCTCCAGCATTCTCTCCTCCTCCTTATAATCCTCCACCTGTCTCATCCTTAACACACCCCACCCTTCTTCTGCCTCCTACAACCTGCCCTCTTCTAAACCTCGATATTTTCCTCCATTACCGCCCCCGCCCCCCACTGCTGTCTCTTATGCCGTCTTCCCCTCCCCTCTGCCGCCATTGTTTCCACCCCACACCCATTCATGCTCAGCCCTGCCTGGCTCAAAACCGAAGATTCTACATTCAGACCCCGCCCCCCTCTCCTTCTCTGTGAGTATCTGGGACTGAGGGACTCCTTAAGTACATATCCCTTTTTCTGACTTAAACAGTTCTTGAAAAATGACTGGGATCTTTTTCCACTGACCCAGACACTTATATTAAAGAGTTCAAACATCTCACTCAGTCTTATAATATTACCTGGCATGTAATTTATATTATTCTTATGAATATTTTATTCCCAGAAGACAGGGTAGCAGCTCAGCAGACAGGTGATGAAATGGATAACCAGAACTGGAATTAAGCCTGTGGCTGCAGTGCATTCTCCAGCGAGACTCTAACTGGAATATCAACCTTCCGAGGTGACATGGTTACACACCTCATTGAGGGCTTACAAAAGGGCCAATAAAGCAGTCAATTACGAGAAGATAAGAGAAATCCTTCAAGATCCAAAAGAAAATCATGCCCAGTTTTCCTCTCTCCTCTCGGAGGCTTTCCTTAAGTTCACCAGGGTTGATCCCTCAACACCAGGTGGCACGACTTTACTTCATTCATACATTATCTCACAATCAGCTCCAGACATTAAGAGAAAGCTTGAAAGGCTTGAGGATGGTCCTCAAACTCCACAATGAGGCCTATTCAATGTGACTTTTAAGGCTGTCAATACAGAACAGGAAACTGGAAAGGAACAGGAAAAATTAGTTAAACTACAAAGATAACAAGCTAAATATCAGATGCTTGCTAACACCCTTCAGGGAAATATGGGTGGATCCAGACCTATAAACACTAAGCCACAAATGGGTAAGCCACCCAGACCCTGCTTTAAATGTTCCCTGATGGGACACTAGGCATGCAAATGCTCCAATCCTTGTCCTCAGATAAAGCATTGCCCACAATGCAAACAAGGATGGCACTGGGGAGTTGACTGTCCTTTCTGCCCAAGTGCGGGAAATATAGTCTCCTCCATGACACCTCTAGAACCACCTGCTCAAGACACCACATTGTTAGGGCTTCTAGGCTCCGAGATAGAGGACTGACAGTGCACAAGGTTGATGGCCCCCAGGCTAACAATCACTGTCTCAGGAAAGCCTATTTCTTTCCTTTTAG